TGTGGCTGCTTTTGCATTAGTAAACTTCTGGTATACTGTGATACATGATGTAGTACAAATTTATATATAAGCTCTTCGAAATTCATCCTTTATTATCCACAATCTAATATTTATTAGACACCACTGGTGTCATGTTAGCTTTTCAGGAGTTGTTGATACATTTTGTAGTATCAAATATTGCTCAAACACTTATGATATCATGATAGAAAATCATAATCAAATGAACAATATAAAACTTATTCTAAATTTATAAATGACAAAAATTAAGAATTTTAATATTTCTACCACTAACTTTGTGACAAATATCTCATTCAAGGAGAAATATTATTAACATCTGAATATTCATTGCATCTTTTAAGGAAAGATATACGAGTTGTTATTTCCTTCGGGGAACTCAATAACTAACCATAATATATTAATGTGATTGTAGTAGAAAGCATTCTACAAGAATGATTTTGCCTTAGAATGATACTTAATAAAATTATCCAAGATGTTTTAGGTACAACAGGTACGTGCGACNAAGAATGCTTTTGCCTTAGAATGATACTTAATAAAATTATCCAAGATGTTTTACGTACAACAGGTACGTGCGACAATGATCTTTATGCCATAAAAATAATATTTATATCATATGTTATTCTAGCTCTTCCGGAGGTGAGTTGTGGTATTTCTTCATTCACTACAAGGAATGAAAATGTGCTTCAAAAATAACTTTGAATAGCTCATTATTTTATTTACGCACAGAAAGACACAGTTTCATAATATTTTCCTGCTTCGGGAGAAAATTTCAATTGAGTTACTTCTTCAGGAGCAAATTGAAATACGAAAAATTGAGTATATATTCTCTCAATCATATTACCTCTTCTGGAGGTGAATTATAATATATTTACATCAAGAGCACGTTCATATTTACGACTTTATTAATATTATCACATTCACTTCAGAGAATGGATTAATATTTATCAAAAATTCTCATTCTTCAGAAAATCGAATATAATTATCTGAACGTGCATTAATCACATCAATTGTGATGCTTCAACCTCTTTTAAAATATTTACTACTTCAGGAGCAAATCGAGGCGTGCATGTAATATAAAGAATATTTCTCTAGCTTATTTTTAATTGTAACCATAGAAAGCCTAAATTATCACTTCTGGTGGTCATAGGCATATACCACTTCTGGTGGTTAGCAAAATTTAGTTACAATGAGATATACGAAACATAACCACTTCTGGTGGTTGTATATTTCTTGCAAACTCTGCTGGAGTTTAAGTGGATCTAACAATGTTTTCCACTTTGTAATCCTTTATTAAGATAAGTAAGATGAAAACAAATACCAAAATAGGTACTATATACGTAACATATAACCAAGCAAGCGATGATAATGATATTAAAATATAAGCAAAAGGCTCAAATTAAATTATGCAAATTTGGCCACACCAGATGTAAGTGTATCTATATCACTACTGCCAAGACGAAAAACTCACCACCTCAAGGATATAATCTGCCTTATGATGCTCGTTATGAACAAGAGCTAACCACAGACATAAGAGTGTCGCCTTACATCGGAGATGAACACTGAAATAGAAATCAAATTCGAAGTAAGTGCTCAAAATAGCAGAGTCTCGTGCTGATAATGTGTTATAAAATAAAGACTGTAAAGTAAAGAAACCGAAGACGAGTATAGAGGGAGATTGATATTTTTATTCAACTTCATACTGTTGTACATAATAAACTGAAAGCTTCTCTATTTATAGAAGAAAGGAAGTAGCTGCGAGGCTTTTCAGGAAGTAGCTGCAAGGCTTTTCTTTAGCTGCTTGTAAGTTGTCTGCATGAGCTGCTTGCAACTTGCCTGTTTAATAAGAAACTGCTGCAAATCATTTCATTGAGCTGCTTGCAACCTGCATGCATCAGTTGCTTGTAGATAAACTTCAACAGAGTACTAAATGGATAATCTTCTTCAGGAAAATTATTTATAGCGGGGTAATAAATGGACATCCACAATAATTATTTTCATAACATGAGGAAAATAATCATTGACTTTTCTCATTCTCTACCAGCTTCTATCATCGTAGACCATTGACGCAAACAAGGAAAATAACCATTGACTTGGAGTCAACGGATTTCTCATTATCTTCTCTCATTGGCCAACAATATTTTGTGTTGAAAGGTCAAAACAAGGCTACCTATCAGATATTTTCGATTATCTGTATTATATAATATGAATATTTGATTTGATTCCTCTTATAACTTTGCAGGCCAGCTCTCATCGTTCAGGAGAAGCAGAGATCAAACCAACGAAAGAAGAAACAGCCAAACCAAAAAGGTCATTTTTTGCAATTTTCTCGTTCTATACTAAACATATATAAATAAATTATATTCTTTGGTCAAGTTTCTAATTGGTCAAAAGTATTTTTTAAATTATTTTTAAAAAGCACTTACTTTACACAATGAAAGTGTTGGCCAAGTTTATGGCGAATAAATAAGTGTTTTTGAGTAGTAATAAAAAATATATTTTAGTTTTTAAGTGGAAGCTAAAAAAGTAGCTTCTCCAAAAATAAGTATTTTTAATTTCTTTTAGAACAAGATTAGCCAAATAAAAAATTCATCTTTACCAAATTAACTAGTAGTAACTTCCTTTTTCATAATTTGACGATTAAAAGCACTTTTCAAAAATATTGGCCAAACCATTAACTAACGAAAGTACTTCTCCAATAATTTATCCAAACATAAATAGCTACTCTTTCAAATCACCCTTTTGACAAGCAATTTCGATTAAAAATATTTTTTAAAATAAGTTACTTTCGGCGGCTTGGCCAAACAAGCCCTTAATGGATATATTTTGTCTCATAATTTTGTTTTAGATTTAAGACTCTTACTAATCGTTAGATTGTGTGTTCTTTCGAAAATGCGGTTACAACTTTAAATTTTTTATACATCATCCACCTTATTGAAAATGTTTGTGCTTTTAGTTTCTCGAGGCTTTATGCATTAATTAATATTCAGGTTAAACTAACCGTAGCCGAAAGAGAAAAGTCGAATCATATCAAATTAATTAAATATAATATTGGTATAGCATTTAAAAAAATCAAATACCAAAAATATCGAACTAAATATTCAAATACCGTATTGACCGACAAATACCCCATTCTGTAACATACATATGGCAGTTTTTATTGGCTTGTGGCCTAATTACAACAAAGAAAAAAGGAAAATTAAATGGCACCACACGCACATTCATGATCAGAATAGCTAAGGGCGGTGGCCAAATATGTTTTTCCCACTTGATTGTAAAATTACTTTCCCCGATAACTTTCTCTTAGAAACTTGCCCGTACTCAATTTTTATAATTTTAATTTAATCACACAACATTTTCTTAAAGAGTAGAAAAGTCTAATACTCCCTCAAATTTCCATTAATTTGGGATGATATAAAAAGACAACGTACATAAAGTTTCAGATATGGATAATAGAGGTATGTGTTTTCAACTGATTAAAATTAATGTACCCTTCCTGATGTTTTTATTTTTTTTATCGAACCATTTAGCTCTTTCAATCTAAGAATTAAAATTTCTAACAGGTTATGGCAAGTCATTTGATTATTAATAATAGCCATCTATGTCTAGAAAATTAAAAAGAATTTGATACCATACCATTTTAACCCGGTCTGTTTTTATTTATTTATAGGAATTACAGTTCAAGAAAGCTATTTAAGAGGGATGGCACACACTATTGAGATTACCCCAATAAATTGTCGAACTCCACTGCTTCATCAAACTACGGAACATGAGGTATCTCCCCACCTCTCTCCCTCAACATGTACAAGCATTACCTTTTCATCTTATTTTATTTTTGTGGAGGGGAACCTTAGAGCAACGCTAAAATTGTCTTTATATGATTTATATGCCACGGGTTCGAGCCATAAAAACAGTCATTAAGGTTGGTATTATGGTAGATTGTCTACATCACAATGATCACACTCCTTAGGGTGTGGCCCTTCCCTGAACCCTGTGTGAACATGAAATGCCTTGTGCACCAGACTGCCCTTTTTGTTTTGTTGTGTTTTCGTCAAACCGACCTATGTACATCCAACTCTGTCATATAAAGAAGTTATGCTTATACTTCCTTTTCACGCAGTTTTAACCTCAAACTTTTGTAATTTAGCTTGAAACTCTTATGACTCTTTTCCATTAATTTCAGATAGAAGAAGGGAGGAATGTGGATCAATTAATAGAGACAAATCAAATTCTTGATGAAATATATTTAGATTTGTACCATTCATCTACCAAATCTTGTACCATATTCAAAGTAAGTGTGGGGCTAAGTGAATCAAATCCAAATGCTTATAAGCCAATGTTGGTCTCTATTGGTCCTTACCATAAGAAGAATTCACAACTACGCTCAATGGAGAATTATAAATTGCGTTACCTACAACGGTTTCTTAGGAGAAAAGTAGGGCTTGATGTGAAAACTTGCATTAGTGAATTGGAGAAATTTAAGGATGAGGCACTAAAGTGTTATGATGATATAGAGGATATTTATAGTGAAAACAATACTGGTCAATTTTTGAAAATGTTGTTGGTTGATGGTTGTTTTATAGTTGAGTTTATTCGAGAGCGCTGTGGAAGGAAGCCAACAGAAGAAGATATTATTATCCCCTACAGTTGCATAGATGGTCAAGTACATCGAGATTTGTTATTATTAGAAAACCAACTTCCTTTCTTTGTCCTCACTAAGCTTCACAACATGACAATGGATCCAATCAGGGCGGATTTAGGGGGGCGGAAGCGTATTCACCCGAACTCCCTTCGCCACTGGATCCAATAGTATCATTCATAAAATTGGTGAAAGAGACCTTTAATTCTTCCTTCTTGAAGATGAGTCCTGCATCCATTCTTGAGATTGAAAGTGATGCCAAAAACATTAAACATTTACTTCAACTAGTACATATGTCATGTCACCCTTTGGAGAAGAAAACTAGTCTTACTCTTGAAAGCCCTGGTTTGGAAATGGAACATTGCAGGAAAAGCTTATGTTGGAATCCTTTAGAAATGGTTAGATTGAAAAATATGCCAAATGATAAGGACCACCAAACATGGGATGCTAACATGCCGAATGCAACAGAGCTTCGCGAAGCTGGAGTTACATTTTCAAAAATTGGAAAAATCTATAGAAGATTGGAGGAAGATCACGACCTTGGAGATAACACAAGTTTATTTGACATTAAATTTGAGAATGGAGTGATGACAATTCCTTGTTTTGAAGTCTTTGACTGTACAGAGACGATCCTGAGAAATCTTATAGCATACGAACAACAATCATCTGATGTACATCCTAGATATTTCAGTGATTTTTCCATTTTTATGGATTATCTTATCGACTCGGACAAAGATGTGAGTTTGCTTCGCCAGAAAGGAATCATCAAGAACGAGATAGGAGAGGACAAAAGAGTGGCTAGCCTTTTTAACAAAATTGGGGAAGGGGTTGCCATTTCTTATGACTTCTATTACAAACAAGAATACTTGATGTTAGTTCAACATTGTGAAAAACCATGGAACCGAATGAAGGCAAGTTTGAGGCACAATTATTTTAACAGTCCTTGGGCGGGAGCTTCAACTGTGGGAGCCGTCATACTCCTCATACTCACAGCTATACAGACCGTTCTAGCTTTCACAGGTGGTGTTAAGTAGTTTGAATGTCTCCATTGTAGAGTTTCCTCACAACTCCAAACATGCAATTTACTGCATCAAAGCTTGTGCATTAATGGCCTGAGAACTATAATAAAATGAAAGTCTTTTCTTTTCTCTGATTGTGTCTTCGTAGAAGTAGCAGATTTTCAATTATCAACCTCTTATCTCTTTGTAGCAAAAATATAAACAACTATTATTACGCCTCAATCTCAAAGTAATTGGGTCAGTTGTATCAATCCTTACCATCTATTTTCGTTACTGATAATAAGGGTCTCGCAATGTTTAGGGAAAACAAGCTTATGTGAGCATATACTTTATCTAAGGGAAGTTGTTTATGATGACTAAAAAATGACTCATGCAACAGAGGATAACTAACCACATTATAATGAAGATAACGATGCAAACTCAAGATAATTTTATTGTGAGCATACTTTTAAAGAATAAATTACAGTAACACATCAAGTATTAATCTAACTCCTGTATTAATCGAGTAATAGAGAGTGAGAAATGGGCCTTTCGTTAGCAAAAAATTCCTCAAACGCTAATAACCAATAATCTATATTATTATAAAAGCATGAATACAATGTCGGTTTTACAAAAATAACCTTATAATTTTAAGCATAATAGCTCATAATAAAAGGATATTAACCAGAATTCTAGATATTAGCCTTATAATCCTATAAGTTTTAGGACATAATACTACATGTTAGGAATCCTACATGACTAACTTTAAGAATCCTATTAGTATAATTATTTTCGGGTTGTCTAATACATAAAAAAATCCTATTACCAGTTTAATTTAAAAACGTATTATAATGTCCTATTACTAATTTAATTTGAGAATGTATTATATTGTCCAAATCCATTAAGAAAAATGAGAGCTTATATTATTATAAAAGTATAAATACAATATTAATATATCAAATTGCCCTAAAATATTAAACGAAAGAACTCATAAGGAAATGACATAACTGCAATAACCTATTTTTTGGATTACAATATCTTCTATGCTAATTTTTAATATTTAAAATTATTAAAATTTTGTCTATTAAATTCTTTTTAAAAATATGTAGGAAGGTTTAATAAAATTAATTTTATAAGAATCCTCCGTATTGGCAATACATTACCACTACATAATGTCCAATGCGAAGAAAAAATAAAAGTAATATTAAATAAAACACATAAAGAGTTAAAATTGTGAGGAAAAAATACCCCCACGATAATATATTTTTATATTATATTTGAACTATTTTCCTACTCAAATAATATTTTTTTTTATCAATTTGTTGTGTAATATTAAAAAATACCCAATTATTAAACAACAATTAAAAAAATATTTAAGAATATAAATTTGTGAAAAAAAAGAAAAAAATGGTTGGTAAGAGTCAATACCACTAATGATTCTAAACCATAAAGATATAAAAGTGAAATGTCATATCAATCTTTTACTCTTTAAAAATAAAATTTATGGTGGATAATATTATAATTAAAATTAAATATTCAAAATAAGAGATAAACTAATATTAAGATCTGAATCAATATAGAATAAATTATTTTTTATGCTAAAACCAAATAATTAAATCGTTGAATTAATTATTTAGCAAGAGAATCCAATTCAATTATTTTTTGAATTCATCATATGAATAAAATTTTTATTCAAGTTAAAAAAAATCTTCGGGTACATAAATTTATTCCATAAAAAGAGCGTTAGAACACAAAGTAAAAAGGTTAATATATTATTAAGAATCAAAATGTTATACAAGTGTCTGAGGAAGCACAATCAAAGCTAAATCATAAATAATAACAAGTTTTCAAGACTATTTTATAAAGAGTCGACTCTGGTATAATGGGATTATTCTTTGTAGATGCCTCCGGCGGAGTCGAAATAATATTTTTATGTTATGCATTACTTGCAAATATCATATCAATATGCATGAAACTGTTAGCAATAATAACAAGTGGTGTACAAACAACGATTTTATTGTGAGACCACCCACTTTAAATTTGATATACCTCTTCAAACAACTTAAATAACCATCACAAATATATCAAAGCAGCGCAATTGTGCTAAATTTATAAGGAAAGCAAAATTGATAATATGGGATGAAGCACTTATAGTTAAGTGTCAAACGATCGAAATAATTGCATGGAGTTCTAGACATATATTGGATATTAATGAACCGTTTGGTGAAAAATTAATGGTTTGGGAGGTGATTTTGTCAAGTATTACCAGTAGTTCCGAAATCGACAAAAGCAGAGACTGTAAAAGCTAGCCTACCAAAGTTATACTTCTGGCCTCAACGAAAAATATTCAACTGACAAGAAATATAAAGTAAGAATAGATCCAATATTCAGTGTCTTCTTGCTTCGTGTCGGAAACGAAGAAGATCATCCAATAAAAGATGATTTGGTTCTTCCTGAACACTTGGTTATCAATCCCAATGGTAATAGTAGTGCATTTAATAAGAGAAAAAATTATATCATTAAATTAAAATGCAACTTGTGCAAATCGCATGATAGAATTAAAAAGATATCATAGCTAACAAAAATAAATATGTTAATCAACTAAATAAAAGGTTGATTGTAAAATTTTATAGTAAAAACAAAATGTTTTTCAGTTTTTGACTCAGCAGAAAATGATACTAATAATTAGTAGCATGAAGAATACTTAAATACTTTAATACCAAATGACCTTCCACCATATATGTTTGTTGTCAAGTTTCTTATTTCTTACTTATGTTAGTGCCACTGTATATATAGTAGACTAAGTTAAAATTGATCTCCCATTGTATATATAGGTTAATTTTGAAGAAAAATAAGCTTGTCATGCTACTGAAATACGCCGAATAGCTTATGTAATAGCACACATATGATATATAGAAGTTTTGACTATAACGCCATACATGCAAAATTTATGATACTGGTTAATATGTTTCTAAGTATATTCTTATCCCTCAATTCAACTTTCATCTTCTGAAACTAAGGAATGTCCTTTTAAATTTGTGTGAAAATAATTTTAGTATGTTTATGTTTTGTAAGTATAATAAATAGCATAAGGACAAACATTCTAAATATTGGACTATATTTACTACAATATGTTTTCTTGCACGAACAACTGTATGTTGCACTTTCAAAAGGGATATAAAGATCGACAACAAGAGTTCTGATTAAAGCAGAGCAACAAACGCATTAGGAGGAAACATATACAAAATAATACTGTCCACAAAGAAGTGTTCGTTAAGATACTATCACATTAAATAATTTTAAACTATAATATATAATTATCTAACTAACATGACAATTTGATCATTTGCGTAAGTTTTGATGATGTCCTTTTATTTTAAATTCATGTATTATGCTAATATAATATTGTAACGACCCGGCCGGTCGTTTTGAGAGTAATAGCTCCGATCCCCTATTAACTGCTTTCCACAAATCATTTTCTGCTATTGTGACTTGCCGGGATGATTGGTTTTGAGTTTCGGAGTATTTTGGGACACTTAGTCCCTAAATGAGAGCTTAAGCCTTAGGATTTGGACCGTAGTCGGACTGTATGAAGACGACTCCGGAATGGAATTTCATTGGTTCCATTAGCTTTGTTAGGTGATTTTGGATTTAGGAGCATGTCCGGATTGTGTTTTGGAGGTTCGTAGCTCATTTAGGCTTGAAATGGCGAAAGTCGAATTTTTGAAGTTTTGGGAAGGTAGTGGAATTTTTGATATCGGGGTCGTTTTCCGATTCCGGAAGTCGGAGTAGGTCCGTAATGTTGATTATGACTTGTGTGCAAAATTTGAGGTCAATCGGACGTGATTTGATAGGTTTCGACATCGGTTGTAGAATTTTGAAGTTTCAAGTTCTTTAAGTTTGAATTGGAGTGTGATTCGTGATTTTAGCATTGTTTGATGGGATTTGAGAGCTCGACTAAGTTCGCATGGTGTTTTAGGCTTACATAGTCGTAAAGACTAGGTGCCATCACGACTCCTTTCAGAGGGATAATTTGGGTCGTGACAAGTTGGTATCAAAGCACTAGGTTCGTAGGAGTCGCGAGTCACAAGCCGGTTTATTAGAGTCTCGCGGATCGGTACGGAGACGTCCGTACTTATCTTCGGGAGGCTATGTAACTGTTAATAACAATTATATTTCTTTGATTTTTTTGTCGTGCGAGTTATTGACACCAAAAAAATTCTATGATTCTATTCTATTCTTTCTCACAGATGGTGAGGACCCGCAATGGGAGGACCGACGATCAGGCACCTGAGCCCCCTGCCAGAGCCACCAGAGGTCGGAGTCGGGGTTGAGGATGACCACACAGTGTAGCCCGAGCACCTGCGAGAGCTGCGTCAGAGGAGTCCCCAGCAACTCCTGCTGGAGGTCCAGCGCCGGAGATCCCTATTGCTACTCCAGCCCTCCAGGAGACTTTAGCTCAGTTCTTGAGCATGTTCAGCACTCTGGCTCAGGCTGGACTATTTCCGATAGCTCCCGCTATATCTCAGGCCGGGGGAGGGGCACATACTCCCGCAGCCCGTACCCTTGAGCAGAGGGTCCAGGTTGATCAGGCCCCAGAGTATATTCCTATGTCCCCAGTGGCTCCGGT